TCCTAATATTTTATTATTATTATTATTCCATTTCTACTCAATTTTAAGTTAATAAAGGCAATAGCTAGAAATTGCTGTAAGATCTCTATCAATTGTCTTAAAACGCCAAGTCCAAGAAAGGGCGCCACAATGAGGCCTGAAGGCCATGTCTACAATGTCTCACAAAACATTTGGCCCTCCTTATTTTATCTGATGTTGCAACATTTGCCTCTAATGTGCCTAAGGCCCAAACAGAAAAATTAAAAAACTCCAATTCTTTGACTAGTCTGAAAATATCTTACTTCCAAATTACATTGATTTAAAATTTCTCTTTGCTATTTCTTCTTCAGTTTATGCTTGTGGGTTTGACTCACAAAGACATCATCCAAAGGGCAAGAGAAGTATATATACAATCTTGTCGATGTGATAACTAGCACAACACAATTAGGTAGACGCAAGAATGGTGGAAAACTATTTTTGACACAAAAAGAAAAATTCTATGTAAATAAAACAAAGCACCAGGTCCAAAATTAAAGACCAAAACACAATAGCTTGATCTATCTTTTAAGATAAGAATAGTAAAAAAGTCAAATGGTTCTTGAAAAGGAAGAGGTAAAAAGAAAGGTGACTTATCTACTAGAGTATTTATATAAAATGGCATGAAATGAAGTATACCTAGTGGTGTCGCTAGTAAATAAGTTGCCAAGGTTGTTTCTATTTAGAAAACATAAAGTAGAGATTTAATAAATTATTCTGACAGTTTAGATGCGGCAATTTGGTATTGGCAGTTTGACAGGGGAAACAGAGAGGGGTGGAAAGGAAATTATTGGTTAGAAAGATTGGCACTGCACCACGGATTCACCATGTCGTTGTTAAATGTTCCAGTTTGAGGATTAAGATGGTTTGAGGAATTGCTATCACCTATTACTCTATCATTGAGATCAAGTCCAAACAGCGCCAGATCAATAGTCTAAGGTTTAACTGTCTAACCCAGCTATTTCCAGCACATTAATAACTGACTACATTGTTGCGTAAACTATTATATAAAACCAGCCAGGTATATCACAGAAAAAATGGACTGCAGTTGATTTGGAGAAACCACGTTCTACGGTCCTGTGTGGGCACACCATGTTCATCTAAAAAGTGTATACTCTGGCCACATGACAATCATGCTGCGCTTCATGAAGCATTTTATGGAGTAAAGGCAAGCTGTTAGGAGGTGAGGGCTATGACCAGGAAAAGAAGCCACACAGGCACTTACATATTTTAGTGATGGTGTTGATGAAGGTGAGGCAATACTCATAATACTTCATTCAAAAGACAGTAAATAATGCAAACTACTGCTGGAGACCAAAATATAATTGTGCCCTTTGGGAACACAAGAAATATTTGATGATGATCATGACTATGTTGATGATCAGTTTTGAAGACAACAGTACAATGCCTTCATTTCTTAGCATAAATCATCTGGTTTTCATTTCTTCTGGAGGTGAAAATGTCCTCTTTAAGAAATAGTTGAACAGGTGCATTGTTTCCTACTTCCTTTTTTTTCCCCCTGTTTTCTCAGCAAGTCATGTGATTTCATTCCCGAAGCAGGGTATTATAAGATAGATGCCACTAGAAATGACAATGTCAAACTGAGAGAGTGATTATTTCAAGCTCAGAATGAAGCACTTTTAAGACAGAAAGCTTTGGCTTGTTTGTTTTGTGGCTATTAGACGTTTAACACTTTCATTGTGACAAACTGAGATTAAGCTTTCCGAAGATAAATGGTAAGAAATATTTGAATAAATTGTCCTAAACATGAATGCTGAGATAAAAAATAAGTACAGAAGTGCTGATTGAAGAGAAATTTTCCCCCAGGAGACATTCACTTGATCATTCTATTTCACTTCCATATGGAGTCTGTAAAGAAACCCAGTAAATCCACAAAGCTTTATGAATGAAATTTGGAAATCAAATAGTACTGAATTGTTAGGAGAGACAGCCCTGTAGTTTCTGAAACCTTTGCGTGAGATGTCCTGCTTTCAAATCCACTGTTGTCAGTGAGAGCTGTGTGAGAGTTTTGCAAAGGGTTATAGTCGAAACTGAAGGCAAGATTTCAGTTCCTAGGACTGGTAATGAGTAAAGCGACTTGTAGTAGTTTTTCGTAAGGATCTCTGTTTTCTCCAAAAGCTAACTTTCATCACCACTACTGATGTTGTAAATTTATTAAAATATTTAAAAATATTTCATTTACTAAGCAATGATTAAATAGCCTCTGTTACCATTAGAGGTCCATTAAACTTATTATCTATAAAACTGTCTGGTTTTCAATTTAATCTACAACCCCAGACTGTATTATATGATTGAGAAAACTAACTTTCTTACATTGTCTTTTGTACCTATTATCAAATCTTATTCAACATCTAGCATTGTTTACTAATAGAGTTCTCAAAACCCATTATTTTTATTCATCATATATAAGTCATTATGAGATTGTGAGAAAGCCTATGTGGGTATTCTTCAAAGTATGGGTCAGAAAAAGAAATATTGATCACGCTTACAGAGGAGTTCTTCTAATGGCCTCTTACTGGGAACTATTGTGAGCGATAAAAATTAAATGCATAAGTGAAGAGAACTATATCAAGTGAAACTACCCTTTCAAAAAGTGCTGGTCTATTTCAAAAGAAGTGTGGATATTCTCCGAAAGCCTCCATTCTGTCCCTGAGGGCTACACTACATCGTGTAACGGTATAATCAAAAAGCACTGGCATTCGGTTCTTACAACTACAGTCAGCTGTGATTAATCCTCTCCATAATTTATCTGCCTCTCCGTGTATCCTAAAGACTCTAACTGCAACCAATTGGGTACGGTATCACATGGAAGGATGTGTGATTAAATCATTAATGTGTCATGTTTTAAATCTAAATAACCATGGAGATGTCCTAGTGATTTGGCTTTTTCAGATTGATGGCTATGCATAAGCATGCAACATAATTATTGTAGGAAACTTCAGTAAATTAGTATGTTTGCACTATTCTGTTTCATTTTCTTATTCAACATTTAAAAAATATCTGGGAGGGCTGAGAGTAATAATACAGACTTGTAATTATGAAGTTGATTTTAAAAAGTCACAATTATGTTCCTAATTAAAATATGACATAACTTTCCTTTTTAAAGGAGAGAGTCTTTATTAAGACTTTGGCCTCACTATTTTATTTTCTTTAAGTAAATCTCCCCAAGCAATTACAGCAAAATGACAGGAGTTAGCAAACATGACTGGCATGAATTTCGTTGAAAATATAGTTTTTTTACAAAACATTTTTACAAAAAATTCATTACTACTGTGAATTTAGATTGACCTTACGCTTATGCAATGAAAGTAATTTTTACCTAATACTGAATTACATTCCATTTCAGATTTCCTATTTCAAAGGGTATCTCAAATTTCTAAGATGTTAAACCAAGTATCGAGCCATTTTTGCATACGTAATAAAAGTGTTTAAAATTAAAATGGTAATGCTAAAAAATCCAAATGCATGAAAAATATGGTCTGACTGTATAACAAAAGGGAGTTATATAATTCTACTTGAGTGAAATCTTTCATCTTTGATTTACAGGTTAGAGTCCTCTTTAACTAAAACCATATTGTGCCATATCTTTCATATCATAGCCTTCCCTAAAACCTTGTTTTAATTAAGGTTTCTTTCAGATTTCTGAATAAAAGCATGACAATTTTCACTTATGGCTTTAATATATCCCTTGAGTTAGGAAAATATATAAAAAGAAACATCAACTCTTTCGAAAGCACTGTCAGATATTAAATACTGCAAGGTATCCTACATCAATGTCTTTAGGTGTTTGAGTTATGCATTGAAATAGAGTTTTGGGAGGTAGGGGGATAACCTACTTATATTCAGTAAGTTGCTTTTAATCTCAGAAATAAATGTCCTTTATTTTCAGCCTTTGACACTAAGGCAACATGTGTAAAGGTTAAATTTGTGGGTTTTTTTTTTTTTTTTCCTACATAAAGGCACAACTTCAAGGTTAACTCAATTCAAGGTGACTTCAAATAGGCAGTGCCTTCACTAACACATTTCAGAGATCTAGAAAATTCAGTAACATTGCTTAGGCCATATTCACCTCAATGGTTTCACACTAAAAGAACACATCAGATCAAGCAACTGTGTTAACGTGGAAAGTGAAAAAATAAACTAAATATTCAAAGCTCCTGAGTCATTGAGGGGATTATTGGTAATCTTTAGCTTTTTTATAGAAAGGAAGGATGAAAGGTAAGAAGAAAGGAAGTGACGGAGGATAGAAAACGAAAAGTGAGAGAATAAGTTCTTGAAAGATTTGGAATAAATTAAGACCATCTTTGAAAAGTTATGAACTTTATCCTCTGTGGAACATATGCTCAGAGCTACTGTCATCAGAGCAAGGGATGTATGAGGGGGGAGAGAGACCTCATTCTCAAATACAATTGCAAATCTCCCGTGTGTGAGAACACAGAGAGGGATGTTAGGGTAATTTTTCTCAAAAAATGTGACAAAGTATCGCACCATTACATACAGTGTGTGAGGTTCCTTTGGCATTTGGACTTGGAATATAGCGTGGTTTATTCCACTGAAAAAAGCCTCAGCCAAGTTCCTCCATCTTGAATTCTTACTAACAAGAGTTGAACCATGTGTTAAAACAAAGGCCAAAAAACAAACAAAAGGAAACAAAACCAAAAAAACTACAATCTGTAGGGAATTGCTCTCTGTTCATAGCTGAAAGCAAATCCTGTAAACAATTAAAGACTGACAAAAATATTACCCAATAAAAAACTGATCAGAGTGTCAGGAATGGGTATGTCTCAGGTTTTGCCCCAAATTTTGCTGGCTATCATAGCATCTGTAATTAACAGGATCTAATGCTGTATTGGGTGTTTCTAGTTCATACTTTGGGTCTAGGAGTGGGTCACCCAGCATACGAAAAGCACGCTGGAAGCAGTTTCTTCCAATCGTGGTTTACTGTAACTCTAGAATCACAGCGGTTACGTTTAAGGAATCTTTAATGCCCTTTCAAGTCCATCCAAAGAACAAGTGAAGCTGCTGTTCAGAATTTTGTGCCCAGTGTTTATGTTCCATCGAATCTGTGCCACCCAGGCGGCAGACAAGACATGTCTGAGGGTGCTGGGGTGGAGGGGATACACAATGATGTCACACACAGGAAATATCAGTGGGGGGGACTTGGCACTTCACAAGGCTGGCTCCTCTTCCATAGGCTCACCAGCAGTTCTGTAAAAATAAACAGGCAATCAGAATACGGCATAAGAGTACACAATGACATTGTAGATTTTCATGCATAATCAAAGCTGATTTTTCAGCTCTCTCTGATGTTTATTTGTGTTATTCAGTTATCCATAAATAGAGTTTCTTTCCTAGGAAGTATAAACAAATGTCAAGTGGAAAAACATTTTAGATCCAAGCAATCATTGGAAATGTTCCTGTTTATATTAAAACATGTCAGAATATTTTATAACTCTAGATTCCAAAATGTACATGTTTTGTGTCTAGTACAGTCCAATAATTTATTGAAAAAATTAACTATGATATTTTATTTTAGGCGCAACTGCAGTGATTTACTATGGAACCAGTTTGCTAACCAGAGCAAAGGACCCAGCTAGCTTCTGGAGGAGACTCACCAGGCTCTGGGTTTTGCTTCTGTTCTTTCATAACTGGTTTGGCTGCCTGCTGGAGGCATTTTGAATCAAATTCTGAATTTGATTAGCAAATCGCTGCTACAGACCCAACGTTTCTACAAGAAACGCACTATGGTAGTGTGTAAATAGTTTTCATTCGGCATCATCTGTGGGGTGTTCTGCTCAGGCAACACCAAAACTAATTGCTTGAAAATTTATACTTTAGATTTAACCTTAATTTAGTAACACTCTGAGAGTGTTTTAAGGCAAACTTTTAGAATGATTTTTAATTTAGTCAAAAGGACAAATTGTACCAGGAATCCAAATACATGAGGTAGCTGGACTGTCGAGGGAAGAATGCTGGGATTTGAGATGCGGGAGAATTGAGTTGGAGTCTGAGTCTGCGATTTACTCATGTTGCAACTGCTCACGTAGTAACTATACTTCTGGGAAGCTGTGGTTTCAGGTTTAAATGCGTGAGAAGAAAGATGTTCCTTATGGAATTAGTGAAGGTTAAAAAAAAAGGACGTAAAATTGACTTGTAAATAACAAACACTATGAGATATTAGTTATTTAATACTTTGGATTTGTCCCTTCGTCATCTAACATATGCATGCAATTGTGTTGGATGGCACACCGATAGTTACGCCTTTGTCACCATAAGGAAACACAATATTTGGATGATAGTTCTCTCTGGGTGGTGGAATAATAGGTAGGTGGTTTTCATTTTCTCTTTTATATTGTTTATCTTCTTGCCAGGATTCTGTAATGAATTACTTTCATATTAGGAAAAAATGCTATGTTTAAAACACAGCTGTTTATGAATACAAATAAACTATTTAGCCATGTTATTTTATAGATTTATAAGGAAAAAAGCCAAGATTGCCTCGCATCTATAAATGAAGTAGTTGCCATTTTAACTTAGCATTTTTATAATAAATTAAAAATATTGAAAGATTTTATCCATGGAATGTGATAAAAAATATTTTAATGCATCCTCTAAAGAATGAGAAATATTAGGTATTCATTATTTAACTTTACCAAAAAGAGAGAGTCCCAGATGAGCTGATGTGGAATACTAAAAACATAATTTCTTAGGAATTGATAGCTTGTCCAAGAGCCCACTGGATAAGGAGGTTGTGAGAAAGTGTTTAGAGCTGCTATATAAGATAAAAGCTATTTAAATGAGTCATACTCTATTATAATCTTTCCAAACTAACATTATCAGCATTCCCAGAAGACAATTTTGGAAAACACTTAAGTAATTAAACTAATTTATATGTAAACATGCAAACATTTACATCTGAGACTATGTGGACAATACAGGCATAGAATCCTCAAACTAGGTACTCTAATGGACACTGAATTTGCATACTTTTTTCCCAGTTTTATTGAGATATAATTGACACATAACATTGTGTGAGTTTAAGATGTAAAATGTGATGATTTGATGTACATATATATATATTGCAAAATGTTTACCACAATACCACACCCTTCCCCTCATATTGTTGTCATGGTGAGAACGTTTAGGATTTATTCTCATAGGAATTTTCAAATATACAATACAGTATTATTAACTATAATCACTATGCTGTGCATTAGGTCCCCAGAACTTTTTCATCTTATAACTGGAAATTTGTCCCCTTTGACCAACATTGCCCCATTTCCCCCACCTCCCAGCCCCTGGTAACTATCAATCGACTTTACGTTTCTATGAGTTCAACGTTTTTATTTCCAGTTTTATTAAGAAATGATTGACATACATCACTGTATAAGTTTAAGGTGTACACCATGATGGTTTGATTTACATATATTGTGAAATGATTACCGTAATAGGTTTAGTTAACATCTATCACCTCATACAGATACAGAGTTCAACATTTTTAAATTTCATGTATAAGTGAGGTTACACAGCATTTGTCTTTCTCTGTCTGCCTTATATCACTTAGCATAATGACCTCAAGTTTCACCCATGTTGAACCTTCTATTCTATGGCCTAATAATATTCCACTGTATGTATATACCACATTTTCTTTATCCATTCATCCATCAATGGACACTTCGGCTGCTTCCATGTCTTGGCTATTGTGAATAATGCTGCAATGTACATGAGAGTGCAAATATCTCTTCAAGATAGTAATTTTGTGTCCTTTGCATGTATACCCAGAAGTGGGATTGCTGGATCACAAGTAGTTCTACTTTTAACTTGTTGAAGAACCTCCATACTGTTTCCCATAGTAGTTGCACCAATTTACATTCCCATCTACATTGCACAAGGGTTCCCTTTCCTCTACATCCTCACTAAGATTTGTTATCGCTTGTCTTTTGCATGCTATCCATGTTTAACAGATGTAAAGTGATATCTTATTGTGGTTTTGATTTGCATTTGCCTGATGATTAGTGATGTTGAGCACCTTTTCATTTCTCTCTTGCCTATTTGTATGTCTTCTTTAGAAAAATATCTATTCTAGTCCTTTGCCCATTTTTTAATCAGATTATTATTTTTTTGCTATTGAATTATATGAGTTCCATATATATTTTGGATGTTAACTCCTTATCAGATATGCGATTTGCAAATATCTTCTCCTATTTCATAAGTTACATTTCCATTTTGTTGATTGTTTCTTTTGCTGTGCAGAAATTTTCAGTTTGACATCGCCACACTTATTTTTGTTTTTGTTGCTTTTCTTTTGTTGTCATATCCAAAAAATCATTGCAAAGACCAAAGTCAAGGAGCGTTTTCCCTATGTTTTCTTCTAAGAGTTTTATAGTTTCAGGTCTTACATTTAAGTCTTCAACCCATTTTCAGTTAATATTTGTGAGTAATATGAGATAGGGGTCCAATTTCATTCTTTTGCATGTGAATATTCAGTTTTCTGGACACCATTTATTGAAGAGATTATTGTTTCCTCATTGAGTATTCTTGGCTCCCTTGTCAAATTGGGCCATATACGCGAGAGTTTATTTCTGGGCTCTCAATTCTGTTCCATTAGTCTATGTTCCTGTGCCATACTGTTTTGATTACTATAGCTTTGTAATACGGTTTGAACTCAGGATGTGTGATGCCTCCAGCTTTGTTTTTTCTCAAGATTTCTTCAGCTATTCAGGGTCTTTTCTAGCTCCATGTGAATTTTAGGATAGTTTTTTCTATTTCTGTGAAAAATGCTATTAGAATTTTGATAGGGATTGTCTTAAATCTATAGATGAATTTGGTAGTACGGATGTTTTAACAATATTAACTCTTCTGATCCATGAACATTAAATATGGTTCCATTTATTTGTGCCTTCATGAATTTCTTTCCTGGGTCTTACTTTTTTTGGTGTATTTTGTATCCTGAAACTTTACTGAATTTGTTTATTAGTTTTAATAGTTTTTTGGTAGAGTCCTTAAGATTTTTCATATACAAGATCATGTCATCAGCAGAGACACCCTTGTCTTGTTTCTGATGGTAGAGGGAAAGCCTTCATTTTTTTACTGTTGAATATGATGTTAGCTATGAGTTTGTCATATAAGGCCTTTATTATTTTGAGGTGCATTCCTTCTACACTCAAATTGTTGAAAGTTTTTATTACGAAAGGATGTTGCATTTTGTCAATTGCTTTTTCTGCATCTATTGAAAAGATCATATGATTTTTATATTTCATTCTGTTAATATGATATATAACCGTGATGGATTTACACATGTTGAACAATCCTTGCATCCAGGGATAAAGCCCACTTTATCATGGTGGATGATCCTTTTAATGTGCCGTTGAATCAGTTTGCTAGTATTTTGTTGAGGATTTTTGCATAGATGTTCATCAGGGATATTGGTCTATAGTTTTCTTTTCTTGTAGTATCCTTATCTGTCTTTGGTATCAGGGTAATGCTGGCTCCATAAAATTAGTTTGAGAGTGTTCACTCCTCTTCAATTTTTTGGATGAGTTTGAGGATTGTTGTTACTCTTCTTTAAATGTTTGGAAGAATTCACCAGTGGCCCCATCTGGGACTGGGCTTTTTTTCATTGGGAGGCTTTTGATTACTAATCAAATCTCTTTACTTGTTATTGGTCTGTTTAGATTTTCTATTTCTTTATGATTCGCTCTTGGTAGATTGTATGTTTTGAGCAATTTATCTGTTTCTTGTAGTTTGTTCAATTTGTTGGCATATAATTATTCATAGTAGTCTCTTATGATGCTTTTTATTCGTGTAGTATCAGTTGTAATGTGTCCTCTTTCATCCATAATTTTATTTATTTGAGTATTCTCTTTTTTTTTTTCTTGGTAAGTCTAGCTAAAAGTTTGTTAATTTTTTTATCTTTTCAAAAAACCAACTGTTAGTTTCATTAACCTTATTTATTCTTTTTCTGTTCTCTAGTTTATTAATTTCTGCTCTGACTTTTGTTATTTCTTTTTCTTCTGCTAACTTTGGACTTAGTTTATTCTTTTTCTGGTTCCTTAAAGTATAAAATTAAGTTGTTCTTAAAGATTTTTTATATAGGCATTTATTGCCGTAAATTTGCCTATTAGCACTGCTTTTGATACATCTCATAAGTTTTGTTATGTGGTCTTTTCATTTTTGTTTGTTTCAAGATAGATTTTGATTTTCTTTTG